TATTTAATTTCGGAGTTATGTATCGCATAGGTTAAGGTTGTAAAGGCTTTATAAAGCCTTCTTTTCCTTGATTAGAGACATCAGATTTTGGAATTAAGAATAAAATTTATATTTTGGCTTCGTTGAGAGCTAAGTTTTTTCTTTGCAAATTCTTGTGTTTAGAACTTGCATGCTAGAGTCATTCAACTAGTATTAATCAAACTTCTTGTAGAGTGATTCAAATCACGAGCTTAGAAACGAGTTTTCTTTACTCTTAATCTTGATCATCAAGGTAATCCGTTCCATACTTTTCCTTTAGTTGATTTCCATACCAACTTATTTCTAATCTCGAGATTTGCTTCCATACAACTTATTTTAATCTCGAGGTTGGTTGAGTACTTCATTTTATTCACACGGTTTGCTACCATACTTTATCATATATTCATATATTCGACTTATTTTGTTCATATATTCATACAAAATAAATATTCAAAAAGTAATGGTAGTATTAAAAATAAATTATATTCATAAATAATAGGTATAATTTATAAGAAAAATCTTATTATATTTTAAAATTTTCGTTTATGTATAAATTATTAAATAAATAAATAAAAAGCCAAAGAACATGAAGGTAGAATGTGGCTATTAAATTTAAAAACGTGTTTTATTTATTTATTTATTTCAGAAAAAGATGTGTTTTATTTATTGATAATTGGAATTTCTTGCCACAATATTTGTAATATTCAAAGTCTATTTTTTTTTGGCCAATTGGGTTTATTTTTCATGCAAATGTATTTAAAAAATATTAAAGCAATAATATTTTATTTTACATATTCAATAAATGACATAAAAAGTAGTCTAGTAAGTACAACTCAATGCATTCAAAAAAACTGTTTAATTCAAATTTTATAATGATTTATATTATTATATAAATTTTTTTAAATTAATTAAAATTCAAATTTTGGCTCGGGTGGTTATAGACGTACCTCAATTTTGACAAAAACTCTAAGAGACCCGACATTCAAATCTCTCAATCCGAACGTTGCTGAAATTAAAAAATAACCACACTAATAATAATAAAAAAAAATTACCTTATTATCCGTTTAAATAGAGATTCTCCGCTCTATTATTAATTAATTAATTAATCGTTTATTTATTGGAATTTTGTTGCTTTTATTATTATTCGACCTCGTTTTATGTATGTCGACGGCTAATATGGTTTGCATTATTGGGCTAAAATAATAGTTTTTGTTTTAAAAATAATTTGTCAAATTTTAGCTTCACTAGTAGGTCAATGCTGATGTGTCCCACATTCCACTTTCATACATTTTAGATAATAAATATTTATAATAAAAATATCACCCACTTTAATAAATATATAATTTTTTAATTCCGCTCTAGATTTAATAATTAAATAAATAAATTATTGAATTCACATCTATTTCCTTATGATAAAGAGCACGTCTAATCGTAGCACTTACTAATTTAAAAAAGGTCATCTAACATAAAAATGTTAATCATAGATTTCTATGATTGAACCACTGGGAAAGAAGGTGCACATTGTTGGTATAGATAGTAATCTTTTATTATTTTAAGTTTTTTTTAGCCATTTTATTTTTAAGATTGCTCTAATTTGGATGTGATCTCAGTTCATTCATGTAACCTTTATTTAGTCGAGTGTCACAAAATATATCCGTTCTTTTTTAAAATGAAGAATATGGTTAGCATTCTACGTTTCAAATGACTATTAAAAGTTGTAGATCTATTTTCACGAAAGAATTTAGACATTTTTACCATTTATATGAAAATCTATTGAATTTTTATTCACTTTTAAAGTTAATTCAAGGATACCACAATGGTACGATATTTGTCCACTTTGAGCATAAGCTCTTATGGCTTTACTTTGGGCTTTCCCAAAAGTACTCGTACAAATGGAAAGAGTATTTTTTGTTTATAAACCCATTATCATTCCCTAAATTAGCCCACCGATGTGGGACTTTCATCATCTAACACCTCCCCTGAAGGGCACGCCTCCCCTTAATCGAGGCTCGACTCCTTTGAAGTCTTAGTCATTTTTTACTGCCTTTGTACCTTCGAGGAGGCTTGACTCCTTTTTCTTTCTGGAGTCGTTTGTTCGACATTTGAGGATTTATAAGTTTAGGGTATGACTCTGATACCATGTCAGACGAACACAACTCTCTGCAATAGTATGGTATTGTCCACTTTGAGTATAAGCTCTCTTGGCTTTGCTTTGGGCTTTCTCAAACGGCCTCATATCAATGGAGAGAGTATTTTTTGTTTATAAACTCAGGATCATTCCCTAAATTAGTCGATGTGTGACTTTCATCATCCAACAAACTCAACTAGTTAATACATAGTTTAAAATAAAAATTACAACATTTCTTTAAAATTTTAAAGTTTTAATATAAAACTAGTAAACCTCACAAAATTATTATATAAAATAGAGATGTTCGATTACGCATAGGTAAATCAGGGTCGGTTTGCAAGTTGACATTTTTTACCAAATAACTCAACTCAACCATATTTTTAAAATGATTAAAAATAATTAATGTTCATAACGGAAGTTAACTACTCACTTATAAATATTTAATATTTGAATTTTATGAGATTTTAATTAAAAGTAAGAATTTTTAAATAATTAAGAAAATGGATAAGCTAGCCTAACCAAATCCAGTTAGTAAGATTTTTTCCCACCATAATTAACTATAAATTTGAATGAAACCTCTTTTCCCTCTTTCGGAGCCTCTGCCGGAGCTGTCGTAAGAGGGGAGGGGAAGTACGAAGGGTTTTTTTGTACGGATGCCGTCAACCTCCGCAGTCCGATGGATCCAATGCGGCCCAACGACAGCCAAGTACGAACACTTGATGGACGCTTGAATCTTAACGACAAAGATAGCGCGTGAAATTGTTGATCTCCTTCTTCTGATGGAGCTCTGCAACTTAATTCTAATGCTCATTCTGCTTGCAAGGAAGGCGAGTTTCATCCGTAGAAATCGTTGTTGCAATGCAATCTAAGACGATTGGCCTCCCTTATACCGCCATTTCTACTTCAATTTTTGCGATTTTGGAAGGGATTCAGTTTGTAATACGAGTATGGGCGACCTTCGATTTATTTAGCCTCAATTTTGCTCGAGTAGAATCTATGGCCACTGCTATGTGGCGAAATCTCGGTCTAATGGCAGGTATGATTTGAACTTATTTCGAAAAATTAGAAGTTTAAATCGTGAAGTGAGAGTTATAAACTAGTGTAATTTGCCTGTAAAGCTTATTTAAGGCTTATTTATGCATCTCTGAGTTCGTGCTGATTCAGTATATAGTTTGGATTGAGTGATTGGCGACTAGGCAAAGGAATGGTGGGTTAAAGATTGAATTAGATCATTAAACCCCCGCCCCCCCCC